TTGGTGCTGATCCTGGAGAAGTTATGCACTACTAACAAACATTAAGTTTAGTCAAGTAAGATAATCTGACCACCAAGATTGGTAATGACTGCACATGTTGTGAGATCCTGAATTATACACAAATAAAGAAATTGATAAATTAGGAGCAGTTGAAGTGTGATACAATACAAAAGAAGAAAAATGAGTTCATTGGCATGCATCGCAATGTCCTTAACAATGCTACAATTAATCACAATGTGGATAACAGAGAAGCATTGGCATTCATTACCAGTAAATTAATGACTTATTCATAGTTATGCATATTGTACAGCTCTTCAATAGTCATAGTAGAACGAAGACGTTTTACTACTGTACGTTATTACGTAATGAAAGGAATTATATAATAGGATTCACAAAATGTTGAATCTAATCTCATGATTTTAATTTCTTTAAAAAGGAAATCTAATTTCAATTAGAATATCATCACACATAGCCACACTTAACCAAGAATTATGTGATTTTGGATCTGTGTATATTAACGGCTAAGAAATAATAAAGTCCACTATCAAGAAAAGCAATACGGAGTATATGATTCCATAAAAATCAGCTGGAAAAATAGTCAGCACAAAGAATTGGTGTCAAATAGGACTGACTATTGGTTTAAGATTACCTGAATATGCCGGGAAGCCTTTTCGACTGGCGAACAACAATCCATATATCTATCAAAGCTCTACCCAGCCCAGGCTGTCCTAGCCTGTCAAGTGTTGTAGATATGAATTACATGCAATATTAGATGGGATGACCGCTTTATATATACAAGATAAAATCCCCTTCAGAAAAGAAGTTGTAAGCAACTTGGAAAAAGGGAGGTAAAATTTTCACCCTTTTTTCCCACATACTCCCACACACAAAGACGTCACTGAAGTTTCTTGAATAAAAGGAAAAAAACACCCCATTGTCCCGCTATGAATTAGCAAACCATCTTGTAAAACAGAATATCAAATGTTCTTATTCAGCTAATGTAAGAGTTGGTACATAACAGAACCAGTTCTTGGCAAAATGTAAAAATATGCATATGTAAGAGAGTGAGAAAGCAATGAAATGAATTTGATTCATATGTTCCCCGGTCCTCCTCGAATCTGAATTGCACTTTGCAATTCTATGAATTTATTTATCCCGAATACTTATGCACTTCATGTAGGAATTACAAAAAAATAACTTCACACATAATAACTTCAAAAATACATAAAAATCAACTTTATACAAACATACACATCAATACTTATTTCATAATATCAACAAATATTAAATTTTCGTGAAATGATAACCAATTAAAGAAAACTGCTTGATATGATAAAAGATTGAGGAGTAGACCTGCAATAAGTGAAGAGGAGTCAATAAGTAGAAGGCGGCGATCAGGAAAGAGCGGCAAGTTGAGGGAGCAGTGGTTACTCCATGTCGGGCAGCTTGTTCCCTATATTCATAGAAGCGGTGATGGCAGATTGCTGTATGCAGGCAGGCGACGTCGGTGTGGTGCTAATAGGGGGCGAAGGCAGTGTGTGCTGGGAGTGGGAGATGACGCTGTGCTGCTGGGAGGGGTGCGACGGCAGTGTGCTGCGTGCTGGAGCGGGGCGGCGATGAATTGGGCGGACTTAGGAGAAGCCGATCTGCAAGCTCGTGAAATTCCTTAGGAGATTAGAGAAAAAACCCTAAGTAAAGCACCACAGCGGCTGCGGTTTTAGGAATGCCCGCATCAAATAAATAATGTCTCAGGATATATTGATGCGGTCCCAATTTAACCGAAGCAAAAGGAGAGAAAAAACACAAAATCGAACTGTTATTTGCAGCAATAAGTGTACAAAAAGTATTTATTTGCTGCGGTTTCTTTATGAACGCAGCAAATACTTGAAAAATTCATCAATTGCTGCGGTTTTGTTTTGGACCGCAGCAAATGAGGGGCAGCAAATAACAGAAAATCTAGTAGTGCGTACAGAACCTCCTAAGTATGGGCTTATTTGACCTTTTTTGGTTAGTACATGGGCCTATTTGCACCTTATCTCATTTTTAAATAGTGATCTCATCTCGCAGTTGTCGAGATGCGAACGTTTTGGAGCCTCAATGAAAATACAAGTATTATGGAGTAGGAGGTAAATTTATTTGGAGTAAGACACAAGGATTGTTCATATTTTTAAGCGGGGTTTGTGTATATTGTTTAGTTTATGTGCTGAATAAACAGTCTGAATTGAGTAAAATAATCATTTTATTTTTTAGTATTATTCTTAGCCTATAATGTAAATGATAAATTTCATTTATTAGCATAAATCTATTATGCAATTGATTTTAATTTACGACAGAAAAGACTCTTAATAGACTTCTTAATGCGAATGACTGCTACTTTCCAAATTAGGATGTGTTTGGGAGTTGGGTTTATGGAGGGAGGAGAAGACATGTGGTGGTTGATGACCTCCTATTTGTGTTTAGGGGTTTAAAAATATGGAAGAATGATTTTAATAGGTTTTTTTGCAACCCCCCAAAATCCCTAAAATACTCAATTTTTAAGTTTTTCCAAAATGAGGGATTTTGAAGGATAGCTAACTAAATATTAGTCAAGCACCTTGTGGTTCAATATCATCACTGTGACACTCGCAAAGAGGAGGTCACAGGTTCGAAATTTATCCCAGTCAAGGATGTTGATATTTAACAGAACAGATGTTATGAGAAAAGAGAAAGTACAGCAAAAAAACTAACTAAATATTAAATAAATCGAAATTTAAAATTAATATTAGTTCAACTATTTGAATTCATTATGAGCCCGTTTGGTAGCACGAAAATTGGCTGATTTGGCTGATTCTGCTGAAATTTATGAAGTTCTAGCTGAAGTGACTGCATTGGCTGATTCTGCTGATTTTAGAAAGAAAAAAAAAAATTAAATATATTTTATTAATAAAATAAAGAAAAAATATATGTAAAAATAGCTGAAATGGTCATATACAGTAACTTCAGCCAATACAGCTACAAAAGTAACTTCAACCTTACTTTTTCTACTTATTACACAATTCAGCGCGCGAAAGCAAAAATTACGTGTTTGGTGAAAAAGTTGGCTCGTGAGCCTGATAAGCTGAAAAACAGTGTTGTCAAACGGCCTCATATCTCTAAGTGATTTTAATTATTATTTTTTCAAAGATTCTATATTTCTAAATTTATTGCTCCTAAATACTCCGTAAGAAGAAGAGTTTCCTCTTCTTACTTTTCATTTCTCCTTTAACAATTTACCTTCAAGGTTTTCCTAACATACCCTTAATGATTAAGTCAGTTTTTTATTAAATGATTAAGACATTCTTTCAACTAAGTCATAATTAACACGACTTAATGGTTGAATGATTAAGTCAGTATTATCATTATTAAGTCTGTTGAGTTAATGACCCAATTAGAAGGTCGGCCCATTTAACCCGTACATGGACGAACGTTAAGGAGGCCCAACAAGGGAATCAGGTGTAGACGAACGTCTCTATGGATGAACAGCATGTACCATCCATGAACAACAAATACCCTCAAAGGCAACGACGATGTACGTCTCCACTACAGGGGCCCAGATCAAGGAGTCTTGGCCCAATGACAGCCAACATAATCCTACACCATCAGCCAGAAGACGTACGACTTTCCCCCCTTGGTGGTATCCCCAATGACAGGATCAAATCCCTCAAGCACGTTCGTCCCCAACAACTGGGCGAGAAACCAAGATTCTGGCGGGAGACACATTTAATGCTGGAGATTTGGTGGTTGGGACCTCCTTCATCCACAGCTCTCCACGTCAGGCGCCAACATATCCAACTGCCCTTGGTAGTATAAATAGTAGCATTTATTTCATTGTAAATGGTTGGCAACTTACCCGCCTTAGCATTCTAGCATTCTGATAGCTCTTAAACATTGTTCGCAGCTCTTATACTTGAGTGTGAGACGAACGGCCGTTGGCCAATAGCATTAGTGCAGTGTAACGAGGCTTTATTATCGCTTAATAATACTCGGCCCACTATTGCATACATCTTTAAGCCCATCTTACTTGCTATTTTCACATATTCACATACATCATCCACTCGAAATCCATAGGCTTACGTGTTGGGCCAACGGGTTGAAGGAATAAACCTCAACAAAGTCAAATAGGTAAACAATCCCGTAACCCCACTAAGTCGTAAGGTTTCTCTCCCCTTTAGCTTCTAGATTAATAAAAAGTAATCTGCAAAAAAATGTAAACACAAGGAAGAGTTTTATTGAGAGTAGTTTTGTGGAGATAATATGGAAGCGTGTGAGGTATTGTGGCATAAGAATAAGAGAAATAATCTTAAATAGAACTAAACCTAAATATAATATACAAATGTGATTCAATAATGTATAGTATTATGTAAATAGAACCAAATATCAACTTTCTACACCTAGTATAATTAATTATCCCGGCCCCTAATTCCCTTGCATGACTAAAGTCAATTAGTCCGGTGATGGTGGCAGGCCAACTGCGACGGCAGAGCTCCAGTGACTGGTTCTAGGTGGTGGCAGCCCAAACACTTGCAATGTTATTTTTAACCAAACACACATAATTACTCATATTCGGAAAATTTAAAATAATAACTCTTATTTTTTCATTTAACTCGTGTTTTAACCTACTTTATGAATTCACTCAAAGATTAACCACTCACATTTTTAGTCACATCAGGTAAGGTGGCATAAAAATTGAAACACCAACTACTACAATGCGTAAAAGCTTCGGAAATAAAATACCAGAAAAAAGTGTTACAAGTCTTCCTGCACGACAGACATCCATACTACAAGAAATAACAATCACTATTACATATACTCATGCAATATTAACTACTCCGTAAAAAATGGTCAGCAATTTTGCAATCTTTGAGTGGATAGCAATAAATTATACGGAGTAAAATTTTGCGGGCCACAAGTAATTTTTTAGGTTTGGTAGGCAGTATTTTTAATAAGAAATTGTCATATGCTAGACTAAAACATAATCAAAGTGTCATGCGAGGTCTATAATTTATTTCCATTTTAGGATTAAAATGCTCCCGTTCAGAGCTTTAATTTCATTATTTGTGTGATATCTAACATTCCCCTTATCCATGTTAATTTTCATGATGCAATCGATATGATATTATGTACAATCAACATAACATTTTTATTTTTCAATACAAGTTGATATCGATGATAACTTTTACTAGTATTTTCAGCCAATCAATAGACCAACAAAAATACAAAAAGTCCATCAAGATTCCAATCATGTTGCTTTGAGGGTGGCTTTATTGCTGGATGATAACAATTTGACTTGATAGTTGCAATATAATATTATTCTTGCTTCAAGACCACATTCTCGCTATGTTCAATTTTTAAAGAATACAATACAATTATTTTTATAAATTAGAGATTTTTTACATCCACTCCACCTTTATAATTTCCATATTTTAGTCCTATATCGGACATCATAAATTATCTCTTCTATTTTAATTTGTAGGTACGTGGGGTGGTCGTCTTCCATGCATCTTGTATCCGGTCATCATCTAGTTAACAATCTAACATACCATCACCACCACCAAACATGCAAACAAAACCAAATTAAACTCCCAACCATGCATGCATGCTACTCTAACCATCATACATATTGGCAATTAAACCCATTAATTATTTAATTAATACAATTAAGCCATGCAACCGCCTTACCGCCGGAACGTCCCTAGATACCAAACCAGGAGATCGTCGAGTGGGTGTTGTTGCAAATGCATATGCTTCTTTTGCTGCTTCCTCTTCCTTCTCGTCCTCGCCTCGGGCGGCATCGCTTTCTATGTGTACACCGTCTACAAGCCCAAGATCCCCTCCTATAACGTTAACGGCCTCGACGTCAAAAACTTCGATGTCCAGAAGGATTTTAGCCTCAAGACCGTCTTTATCGTCACCGTCACGGCCGACAACCCCAACTCCAACATCGGATTCATTTACGGCAAGAACAGTTCTGTCGTCGTCACCTACGCCGACTCCATTTTGTCCTCCGGGAAGCTGCCGAACTTCCACCAAGGAGCGAAGAACACGACGGTGATGAAGATCCGGATGGAAGGGGTTAGCGAGTTCGGGTCGGGCATCCAACAAGCTTTTCAAGAGAATAAAGAGACCAGGAAGATACCTCTGCTCGTGATGGTTAAGGCGCCGGTCAAAGTGGTCTTGGGGAGCTTTGCGTTCAGGGAAGCCATTGTTTACGTCAACTGCTCCCTCGTCGTCGACAATCTCCAACCGGGGAAGAAGGTTGGCATTGTGAAGTCTGAATACTCCTTTGATGTTTCCTTCTGATGGCAAATGCTTCCTGGACAATCATTTTTCTACCATCAAATTCAACAGAATATTCTCTAAGTATGATTATAGGCATGCAAGGAAAAAGTTCATAAATACAAATTTTTTTATATGGGTGACAACTATGGTATCCATTTAAAAATGAGGCATCGTAGTTATGACTCACTTGACTTGTCCAAATTATCATATCATTCTCTATTTACATGTAAATTATTCAACTCCATCATCATGTTTGGTGCATGTGGACAAAGGTATTATACATTTGGTGCATGTGGACAAAGGTATGATACGTTTGATGCATGTGGACAAAGGTATGGTACGCACCTTGAGATACCATAGAATCCTCCTTATTTTATTCCCAAAATAAGATTCAATCACTCCTATTTTGTGACGTTTTAATCTACTTATTCTTTTAATAGGATTAATAAATTTTATCTATGGGGTGAAATATAGATATTTAATTCTATATTGAACAATTTATAGGATTTTTTCAAGTAACTCGTTTAGTCTTAACTAGTTATGAATGTCCTTTTTTTGTGGCATAACTTTATTGTGTTCCTTTTCAACTCCCTACTCTAATAACTTATATATGTGTGTGTGCGCGCGCGCATTAAGTATTATTTATTTGAACATTAACATTGATTTACATTTGAACTTTAAAGTAAGTGTAAGAATAAAATTTGAGACCTCATAGGATTGGACTGGGTATGACTACAATCTACAACCATCCGTAAACTTGAAATATGATAAATGTATTATTGGAATGAAAACCACTTGAGTATAGTTAGGTGATATGAAGGGATTAATCAAACACGTTTATCGATCTCCATATTTTGTGGTGTACATGTTATAGAGTTTTATAGTACATACTTCGTATTAACTTAATACACCAAGATCTTAATCTATCCCTTTGATATTTTTTTTAACGAATCCATTTGATATTTTGATATCAAATTTTAGCACATGGATCCCTTTGTTTTTTCATTATTGTTTTTCTTGCATCTCTTTCTATGACTTATTCTATTAGAGGGTCTAAAGAAGAGGATTATTCCAGAGGTTAGGAACCAGGGATGGATTTAGGGGGGGCGCGGGGGGGCGACCGCCCCCCTTGGACATTCATTTTTTTTACCATATATGTAATATTTTTATAAAACTTTCATAATTTAATTAGATTCGCCCCCCTTAGCTTTTTTAATTTTCTAAATTAGTATATAGTCTTACATAATGTAGAAGATAATTGGAGATTTAAAAGAAGAAACATCTAAAATAATTTACATAACTTAAACAAATAAACAATAGAGTAACTCGTTATTTAAGATTTAGGATACTTATTATATAAGAATTCACAGTTTTGTAATGTTTAATTATCTTTATTAGATAACAAGTACTAGATTTTGTAAAACATATATTAAACAATATTAAATACCAGACACACTAATTACACAACTTTTAGATCACGTGAAATGAATCCAAAATATAAATATTTATAGACATTAGATTACATAATTCATTTACTTCTTGCTTTCTAAAAATAATTTATTGCATGAATAATAAACTTTAAATTATTATAGAATTAATAAAAATATTAAAATATAATATGCACCATATGTTTGTGTGTATGTGGTGCATATTATTCTAAAAATAACAATCGCATACATACTAGTATACTACTATTGTAATATTAAGAAAACTTCTCATGAGTCATGACTCACGAACACCCTCATTGGTGGACAAAAATTACAATTCAATAACCGATTCATGAGGTTAAACAATGTAGAAGTTATTAAAAATGTATTGGTTGATATTTTTGTCATTGTCTAAACTTAGAATGTAATAGATTTAAATGTCGCTCGGGATGTGCATGTATTAATGTAATTTTTTGAATAAAAATAGCCGCATAGCTTTACAGCAACGAAAAAATTTCGCCCCGCTACACTAGGGGAAAAATTTCACCCCGCTACACTAACAAAAAAAATCCACCCCCTACACTAGCGAAAAATTTCGCCCCCCTTGACTCAGAATCCTGGATCCGTCCCTGTTAGGAACTGTAGAAGATCCTCACGATTATGATTCGTTCATTAATAAACCACTCTGAGATATGCACAATTTCATATACTCGACTATATGTATTTGTTTCTAATGAATGGCGCTATGTGTTAACGTCCAAAATCTTACTGATCAATATGCATGTGTTGTTTGTATATTATATGATGTTAAAATTCTATTTTCATTCCATGTTAATTGGTGATTAAGAAGTATGAATTGTGTCAATATTAACGTGATTTGTCCTAATTTCATAAGATATGTTTTATGTCAGATTTAAAATCAGTTTCATCATTCTATACAAGAAATCTCCTTCTTATAACCCTTCGGCAAAAAATGTTTTGAGTGACTTTATTATTATTAAGTATATTTGACTAATTACTTGACTTGAACAATTAAATTGTCTTTTTTTTGTTAAACTTTTTAAGTATCTTTTTATCTGTTCAATAACAATTAAATTATCTTGATGCATTAAAACACCACGAGCCACAAATTAATACACTAAGATATTACACTCCAGCAAGTTATTACACCACAAGATTTTCTATAGCCACAAATAGCCCCAATTTGCATTGTTTGAAATGAATTAACAATAGTTAATATTAAAATTGTTTGGATCTGCTGAAATTGGTGAAATTTTGACTGAATTGGGTGAATCTGTTGAATTGTGTAAAAATTATATTTAAAATATATTTTATTAAGAAAATAAAAAAATTATATGGAAAATAGTTAAAGTGACCACACCTAGGGTAACTTCAACAAATTCAACTAGAAAAATAATTTCAACCTTATTTATTTTGATTATTATACATGCAATATAAAATTTGAAATCAAAAGGTACATGTTTAGTGAAAAATTGATTAATAGGTTGAAAATATGGTTACCATAGGGGCCTTACTCGACGCTTTCGAAAAAATTGAACAGTGAGCATCAATTGTCTAAATGGGTACATATTCAGAAATTATGTTAAAATTTCTATAAAGTTTCAAAATTCAAGTTAAAATTAAATTATGAATTGATATCTCAATTAAGTGAATGAACATCAATTTTACAACTCAATTTGTGTTATATATAACACATGCAGTGAAAATAATAAACTTAAAAATAAAAAAGTAAGTATAAAATGTAATAAAAAAACTTATTTTGATTGCTATAAAAAATACGGAGTATCACAATAAAAGAAATCCAAATAAATAAAAATTGATATAGCTAACTATAAGGAAATAACTTACAAATTAAGTATAAATTAGTATAGTATAGCTAGCTAGCTTACCAATAAGCAAGTATATACGTATAGTGACACAATAACTTTTATTAGTTTCATTAAAGGTATTTGTACTAAAAACGACCATGTTTACTAACAAGCTAAGTTGGTAAGTTGGTAACTGTCTAGCACCTCTCCTTTAGTGGCGTGAGTTCGATTCCCGAATGCTGCAGGATTTTCTATTTGGCATAGAAGAACAACACTAGAACTATTGGGCCCTCCGTATATTTGGGCCCTGTGCGGCCGCACCCCTTGCACAACCCCAGGGCCGGCCCTGCCATTAATACTTATATAAAGTTTTAAGAATATGAAATCTCAAATGTCGAAGATTTTTTTACTCTTTTTAAGTAGATTCAAGTAGTAAAATTAAGATCTCACGATTAAAATAGCTTGTTTTACATCTGTTGGGTTAATGGCCCAAGTTGAGGTTCGGCCCATCTACCCTTACTTCCGGACGTACGTCCAGCTAGATCATTAAGCTAGCCTGGCAAGCCCATGTTCCTCCAGGAGGGATGAACGTATGCAGTGGGGTTTAGGCTCAACGGCCCAATCTCGACGAACGTCTATGCAGGGACAAGGAGCAGGGCCACGGGTCACCAGAATTACGACGAACGTCGTCAGAAGCAAGCTCATAGCCATCGGAGGCAGTCCAGTCCGCATGGCAAGAATCCACAAAGGCCAGGGGACGAACGGCCAGTACCCCTTGGAGGCCACCTGGAGCAATCCAGCTCGCCCCCCGGGTGGACGAACGTCCCCACTAATTAGGCGGGAAACCTAGATTCTGACGGGAAGTGCATTTAATGCTGAAGATTTGGTGGTTGGGACACCAGCGAACCACAGGCTTCCACATCAGCATAGCCACCTGCCCATTGGTGGGTATAAATAGAAGCATTTATTTCATTGTAAAGGGTTGACAACTTTCTATTCTTAGCACTCTAGTTATAGCATTCTTACTCGCAGCACTTCTACTGCCTTGTAAGACGAACGGCCGACGAGCCTTAGCAAAAAGTATTGTATTAGGGAGTTATTAAGAGATAATAATACCTAATCACTTACTTGCTGCTTACTTTTCTCCTTAATCCATATTACTTACTAGTTGGGCTAGATATTCATACACACTCCACTCGAAATCCTTGGGCTTACGTGTTGGACCCGAGGGTTGAAGGAATAAACCTCAACAACATCTTTTGGTGGTAAATTATAATTACTCTGTTATAAAATTGAATTAATTATTAATAGAGATCGAGGATATAACTTTAGCATGGAGATGGAGGTAGTTTTTTTAAATATAATATAGGGCCTTTTATTTAATTTTGCACAGGGCCTTCGATATCTGAGGACCGGCCCTGATTAATAGTATCATGTAAAAGATTTTAAAAGGTTATGAATCTTGATATACTTTTTATAAAAACTGGATGAATCTTAATACATTAAAGAAAAGGGGTTCTTACATTCCTAGGCATCAGGTCATTTCTTGCACACGAGAGTGTTTCTCTTTTCCTCTTCGATGAATCAGGACACCAAATTAACTCAACTAGGTAACATATAGGGGGTGTTTGGTTAATGGACTATCAGCCATTTTTTGGCTGATTTGACCATTATTTGGCTTTTTGACCAGATAAACAGCTCATAGAAGTGTTTGGTTAATTGGCTTTTTTACTTAGCCTTTTGTTCCAAACAGCCAAAAACAGAAAAGCCAATAAATATGGCGTTTAGGTTTTGGCTTTTCGGTATTTATCATTACATTCCTATTTTACCCACGAGTCCCTTTCTCTTTCGATAAAGGCCCTAACGATTTCTTTTCGTATTAGCCGCACTTCTCTGTTTAATCGACATCCACTCAGCTTAACATCATCCACCAGGGTAAAATTGAGCTGTGAGAGCAACGCAGGGTTGGAATTCGTAGTTGTGAAATCCATGTTTAAGTGGATGATACTTTGGGGGTGAACCTAATCTTTGGGAGATAAATGATCATAAATATTTTAGGATATGTGTTTAATATACGTAGTATTTATTATTCTCTATATACTACGGAGTACGTATGTATCATATTAATTAAAATATTTGTTAAAATAAAATATTATTTGTGTTTATACTTTTTTAGTTTTTAAACTAACAAAAAACGCAGTACAAGTAGTTGTACAAATTACATTAATAAAATTTTTATTGATGTCTTTAAAAGTCATTTAATAAGTTATCAGCTGATTGTACACAGCCACTTTATCAAACACCATTTTATAAACAGCTAATACTATCAGCCAATCAAAACAGTCAACTGAACCCGCTGTCATCCATCAACCAACACAATCAGCCAACAGCTAACAGCCAACTGCCATTTGCCAAACACCCCCTACTCACTTTGGCACCCTTTAAATAGCACTCTCATGGTAAAAACCTTCAAATTGACACTTTCACCCCATGTGTTGCAATCAAACTTATATTCAGGTGAGACCTTGGCCATATTTTTTATTCGCTTAATATTTTGCGTGTGTGTACGGAGTAGCATTCATGTTTAGTTGGCCTGACGGGAACCACCGCCCGGACAAGGTAATTTGAGATCTTTCCGGTAAATTTTTTTGATGAAAGTTTTTGAACATGTTTTTCATCAAGTCTAGTTTATACTAGGGGTGGGTTCGTAGAACCGAAAACCGAAAACCGAATCAAATCAAATCAAACCGTGACCAAATAAACCGAACCGATGAAAAACCGAAACCGAACATAAAAAACCGTACCGAACCGAACATGTTTGGTTTCGAACCGAACCGAAACCGAAAAAACCGAAAAAACCGAAATATTTATAAATATAAAAAAATCATTTATTTTATATGGAGTATATGGTCGTTCATGTGGTCAACGCTCAAGACCGAAAGCGTAAGAGGCTTTTTACTAGTCCAGTAGTACTCCACCACTCCATAATCTTTTAACCTAAAACGTAAGAGGATTAGCTCTCGAAAAAATGAGCCGCCGTCGAAGACATGGTAGATCGATTCAAGATGTGAAACAAACATGAACTATTGATTCTATTCTCTAGAGTTTACAGCAGGTCTCTAGCTCATCTCGTCCAATCGGTATTTTACTAATTTTAATTTTTTTTTACTTCTCAATGTAAAATTTAAGATGGGAATGGGAGAAGCCTGCAATTAGAAACAATTGGGAATTGTACGGTGTATGATAAAGTCCTATAGAAATGAAAATCGAGAGAAATCATTATGATGATGATGTTTTGGGTAGACATACCATACCATCCATTGAGTAATTCACATTTTATTTGCTCTGTTTACACTTTTGGTCATGCTTATTTTTGTTTGGGTGTGTTGTTTTGTTTGCAACTGACTGAATTTTATTTTAGTTCTTTGGGAGTGATTTTTTCAATCATGTATTTCGTCCAGTTAGGATTATGATTCCATGCTCTTGGTTGTTCAAGTTTGGAGCCAGTGTTAAATTAATAGGTCAATGGATAATATAATTGTTTTTATAGTTTTTTATTAGACATGTCATTTCACTAATGATACATATAGTAAGCATTATTAATAAAATGAGGAATAAGTTGTATTGCTCAAAGTGTGTTTATAGCTTGGTGGAGTATACTCCTAGTCTCTATACCTTGCTGAAAATCTGTAAACCCATACCTTATTTGTGTATTGCTAATGCTAGAATGTACTTCTAATCTCCTACTATTGGGGTTATTAATTTATACTGAAAGTGATTCATCATTTCATTGTGCATATTGATGGAAAAAGCTTTATACTTAACTAAGTTAACTTAATTTCCATTACTTTTCTTTTTTTTCGAGTATTGGATATTATTTGTGCACTGAAGTTAAGATATGAAGAGGGCTTTTTCTTCCCTTACATCCAAGGGATCTACTGCATCCAACACTACGAAAGCAAAAACTTCACATCTTGAGGTCAGTTGGGACTGCATTTTATTTTGCTGCACTATTTCCAAGTTTACTGCACTTAGCTTTTAGGTGTCATGTACTAACGTTTAGTGCACTATATTTAAATTGTAAGGCAGGGATTGACATTCTTTAGTACTTAGTGTTTTATTTTCCTGCACTTTGGTTATTTTGCATCTCATTTCTTTTTTCAGAAAGTACGTGTCTTTTTGGTTTAAAACCGAAAAAACCGGAGTCAAACCGAACAAAACCGAACCGATTCAACCGTGGTTGGACAAAAAAGTATGAACGAACCGAACCGAACCGAAGTTTTTAGTTTGATTCTACATTTGGTTTTAGGTCAAAACCGAACCGCATAAACCGAACCCACCCCTAGTTTATGCCCACCAATTTTCAACTAAAAGTTCAATCATAAACACAGTAAAATAAATTATTTAAGAACACCACGCTTAATTTATAAGCAGCTCATTGTTTTTCAATTACACATTTGACTGCCTTCACGATTGAATTTTAATGTGACAGTAGCATTGTTAATTGTTTTATGAATTTTCATTTTAAATAAATAAACACACCATAATCTGCAACTCTTAGGCGTTAAATGTCAATTGAGATTTTTTGGAGTCTAACACAATTCAGACGCGTTGGTATTAAAACAATGTTTTAGGAAGATTTTTTGTATTCAAACAAAGTTCATAGAAGCGCACCTGATTCAGATTTCACGGCGTTTGACGACATCCTAACCCAGCCTTTCAACGACACAAGAATGAAGAGAAGCAGATGAAGCGCATGGGTGAGTCAAGCAGGACGGCGTGGTGTTGATCGCAAATATGGAAACAGAGTATTAAGGGAAGAGAGCTGGCATGTGATTGTATTTCCATGTTTGGACAAATAAGCAATGGCCAAAACACCCTCACGTGAATTCGGTGTAGCGCTTGAAATTAAAACCGGCGCACAAAAATTAGGCTTAGATGGACGGTTGTGATTACTTTGCATTTTGTAAATTAAGTTGGGTTTGTATATGATCCCAATTCTACACATATAGACACACACACATATAGGAAGATAAGATTTTCGTTTAGGTGCTACAAAATTTAAGTATGTCTTAATATAATTAAATCGAAAGCAAGAAAAATAACATCAAAATAAGTACTATATATGCAAAACACCATTAATTCAATAATAAAATACCACATTTGTTCTCGTTTTAAAGTTCTCATTGTAAAATGGCACGATTATTTAGATAATAACTAAATAATATTATAAAAGCATATTTTGAAAAATTGTTTTGATGAACATATAACATAATAATGTCATTGATGATAAATCTGATGTTGAAGATGTATTATTTTTTTATACTCCGTATTTGATTATTAAATTGTCATTTAAGAGTGCTAACTGTTTTCTAAAATAGAATTTGGAACCTTTATGGGATGTCAAAAAAGGAAAATGAGAATTTTTAAGTGGGATAACTAGAGTACTAATTAGTCATATTTTAAGAATTATCACATCTTTTAATCATATTTTAGAAATAGTTCATTTGTTTTTTATTAATTGTAAGATTTTTGCACTATTCATTCACCTTTTGACCACGATTTTCTACTTATATATAATCAAATTATTATGCATGTTATTAAATTTATATTAGTGTGAATTTCCAAAATATAATCACCCTAAAAACTAAAAAGCGATCTATGGAATTTTTTTTGTTAGTACTCATCCGCATAAGACAATCTTGCGCTTGATGAAACACATATGCCCTCGGCTTTATTACTTTATACAATACGATGGGCGAGCCTCACCCGATATTACCCATCCAGTTGCCATATCCGTGTCAACCACACGAAACAGCTGGATCACTATTTATTTTGATAAACAAAAATTAATTCGAGGTTTGCACTGTAGCGATCACAAGATGTTTTGACCGTCGCTCCACTTTCCAGAGCCAACGATAGCGATTACAACCAGACGCTTCAGGGCTTTGGTTTCTCGCAAAAATGGCTGGCCGTGTTCTGGCTTCTTGTGGGTTCTCTCCTTGGCTCGTTCTTCCCCACGAGCAGGCCACAGGCAAGCTGTTCAAGGTATAAAGATTAGATTTTTAATGGCTCACTGGCCTTCAAAGTAGCCTATGATGAGCTATGATTTTCATATGCATTAGTTAAATTCTGTGATTGCATTGGGTTTAATTATTTGCTTGGTTCTGAGTAGAGGTGTAAGCCTTCCTCTGGAGCTACTTGAGTTTGGCTCTACGTTCACTTCAGTTGGGCTTTTAGTTTTAGACAGTGTGTTCTCAACTCACTGTCTATTTCAGGGTCTATATAAAAACATGTAAACCATACTTTTTGAAGAATAATTCATTATAAATCTATTTTAAAAAGATATGATAAATCAAGAGTTCATTTATAATGAGGCAATCTGCATATTCAAATAATAGACAGAATTTTGTTAATTGATTTGTTAATTGGTTGAATTGAGTTCAAATCTTATTGTTTATGTTATGTTGCATGTTGTAATGTTTATCTGAGAAATGTTTGTGATTGCATCAATGTTGCTTCTTGATATTGCTATTCTTTCCTTTCCTTTTGTTAAAGGAGCACTTGCCTTTTGTTTCAAGTGATGGGACAAACCTAGAGATGGTTAAGTCGAGTGCAGTTAACCTAAAGCTGCAGAAAAAAGGCGACTTCTGGAAAACTATGAGTATGTTATTGGATACTAAACAAATGATGCAGATGAATACAGGCATCATGAAGCGTCTACTGGTTGATGTTCAAGGTCCTAAGCTCTTATAGCTTCTACTTCTGCACTTTCATTGTTATTTACTTTGTCCAATTGACAAAAAGCATTGGCAGAGCTAGGAGGCATACTAGGCCACGGCCCACCCCAAATTTTAAAAAATGTTAAAATATTAGTGTGCAAATATGATGCTAAATTTTCATTTTTGTGTTCTATCGGCCCATCCCATTTTGAACCTCTGGCTACACCATCGACAATAAGCATCATATTAAGTGTCATTTTTAAAAAATCAATACTACGTACAATACTACAATATTTGAGAAGTAGTGACTAAAATATATGATTACATAAAAAACAATGAATGTAACTTTTAAGTTGTAGTGACCATGTGGTACTTTCTAATAGACTATAGTGATTACAGTGATGTATGATACTCCTTCCATCCCGCTAGCATTGTCCCATTTTTCTTTTTCGGGAAGTCCCACTAAAATTGTCTCATACCTAATTTGGTAAAGTTTGTGTCGCTGTAAATCATTCTTGCTTTATTCTTACTTTATCAATTCAATATCAACCACATAAATTCACTTTTCTTAATAACCGTGCCACCTCTTCATGTCTCACTTTTAGTGGGATGGAGGTAGTACGGTGCAGTGAACCGGTGATCATGGTGGTATTTTGACTATAGTGAGTATTTAACCATATTTTTCTTCGTAGTCCTTTCGCAATACTTTAGGAAAAACAAGATATTTAATGGTCTTTTGATTTTTTCCTTTCTTAAGATCCATAAGGAAAATTAATTAAATGTTTATATGACTATAAAGGGTCTTATAATAAGGTTTTCCATTTAAATGCTCTTTTATCTGCCTGGTTCCTTTCAAATCGACTCTTATTGTAATTGCATCATTCTGAAATAGCTGATTTAATTTTCTGCAGCTGAATCTCAATCCGACTTGGTGCTCTTCAATTTCCGGTTTGCAGATTTAATGGATTCACAAGAAATTGGCATTTCTATGTCACAACGAAAATCTGCTTCTCCTTATCTTGCTGAGCCTCACACATCTCTTATATACCCAAGTAGTTCATTTTCCCTCCAAATTCCACCCTCAGATGTTGTGGGGGTCTTTGACCTAGAGATTGATCCTCTTTCTCATGGTCAACTACCTCATTGTGATGTGAAATCTATACTTTCCTTGATCTCCGAGCATTGCCACTTTATGAATCAGGACTCAGTCAGCAGTCCAAGGAAGCCCATGTTGGTTCCATATTTTGACAGGTAATTATGTTATGGTTATATCTTAGTCTTTTTCACTACGTTTTTTATAACCTGTGAATAAGAATGCCAGGCTTATTGATTCCTTTCATTGTGCATAGCCTCCTTAAAATCCGTAACTGTAGCTTAATCTGTCAGAATCTTAGAAGTGCATTACAAATTATATTTTATGGTGATGGTTCGATTCTTTTAATGGTTGATGAAATTGCATACAGGAACTTACTTTTTATTGAGCAGTGTTGTGTGCAAGTATTTAGTCTCATTTTATGACTCATCAAGGACAATTGCAGGCAGGGTATTAGGATGTATAAGCATTAAGCAGTAGGTGTTAAGTGTGCAGAAGATAGAGAAGTTAAATATGAATCTATGGTTCATACTCTATAAACTTTGTGTACATTCTTCACAGTTCACAGTGAAAAAGTTGAAACATACTCTGGTTTTATTTTGATTCTGATTTCTCTCTTCCTACCTTCTTTCGGTTAGGTTTGGATCTAAAGAAAGACATTAATAAGGAAAGCTATGGAATGAAACACATTAATAAGAAAATTTATTTTCTTGTGCTTGGGATTTTACCTTGGAAAATGCAAAGAACAATCATTAACTTTTTAAAAGATTTACCATGTTTAGATTTTTAGTTTTTACTTATATTACTAGAAATAGATAAGCAAATGAGTTTGCACAAGCTTGGAAGTTGTGAACCAATGTTTTATTTCCCCCAATTGTGTTTCTAAAATAGATTGAGTTTGAAGTTGTGAGCCAATGCTTTATTTTCCCTACATGTTTTTCCTATAGATTCCTCCCTATTTCTTTCTTTATAATTTGCCAAGTTGTAGATGGACCCGTTATGTTTATACTTAAATATTCCAAGCCTGTAATCTGCTTTCCATTCAGGAAGATGATCAGGGAAACAAAGGTCAAATCTTCTGCTCTGGAACTTAAAACTTTGAAAGCTGCAACCCTGACAAGGTGTGCAGAATCCTCATATCCACCCTTTTCCCATAAATCTTCCTAAACGTTTTTTTCATCTTTATATATTGTTACTGCCTATTTTGCAGTCCTGAGGAGTTAAAGGACAAGAGATCGCCGAAAAAGAAGAGCAACAAGAAACAACAAATCAAGGATAGAGATCTTTTCAGAAACAGCAGTTTACATGCATTTGAAATCCTTCTTTCCATAATGGTGAACACACAGCAGCATGGGAAAACAGCCATCAGTTCGCTAATGGTATGTTTGGACCATGGAAAATGCAAAAGTAAATTAAATCTGATTCTCGTTTTTAATTTATTACAAATGTTCTGATTTTTCAGTCTTCATTTTATAGAAATAGATAAATAAAAGCAACAGTGACAAATCTATTGTTAAAATAAAACTAATAGGCAAAAAGCCAAAAGTATGACTTAATTCATGGTGACCGTAGTGGTATTTTTGCTGTTACTATGGTTCCAATGGTGATTTTGCATTGCAGTGACCATAGTGGGGTATTTGAGCAGAGCAACTGTAATGACCATGTGTACTCATGTAGTCATATTCTTGTAGTTCTGTTTTAGTAATATTATTGGGAAAACCCCTAAATGAAATGAATATGGACTTATTTTGAAATAAATCTGTCTGAGTTGAACAAATATTTTATTTTTTGAGTAAACAGGCCCTTAAGAAATCCGGTGGTGAGTTACCTCACCTTCTGACCCGGTTATCTGCTACCATTACTGGTACTGCCATTGCTGTCCTTCTCTCTGGTGTCTGTAAAGTAGCATGCGGAAAAGTAGTTGCCTTCCGTGCATCATCTGGAATTATCAATGCTGGGATAGGGCTTGCGCTCGTTTGGTTGTCTTGGGGTGTGAATAGTTTAAGGGACACAGTTATCTCAATCAGCAAAAGCCCGGGCAAGTTTGCTGTTAGAGAAGAGGAGATGATCAAGCTGGACAGAGATGTCAAGGAAATTTACTATAGAGCTGCTGCATTAATGGCTGTTGTAGTGCTGAGGTTTGTTTGATAAATTAACATGTAAAGTCTTCCTTTTTTTGAGGGAAATGTAAATGCTTCTTTGACAAATGACTATAATACCTCAATTGGTTGTTGTCTTGTGGATGAAAGGTTGATGCATGTGAATTTGTACATCAGTCAATAGGGTTCTTGCATATATGTTTTGCTGTATATTGATGAATCATAATAGTCATTATTCTTGATGCTGTTGTTACTAGTGTTAATAGCAGTTCATAAACCGAGGTATATATTGAAACAAAATAAAAAGTCCAAAGAACAAAGAAACAAACTGTACGAGATGTTGATAAACGAACATTTATATATTTATATACTCCGGTAACAATATATACTCCGTCCCATTGTAAGATTCTCTTAAGTGATACTCTAATCAAAATTATTTTTTGATATATATTTGAATTATCATTTTAATTATTGTTTAAATAACCGTGTCGTTTAATTATAGGAATCTTTGAACGAGACAAATGTAGTACTCCCTCCTACTCAGAAAATTCTTCCTAGTTTAACTTGAACCAGTGTTTAAGAAAGTGAGAATAAAGTGGAAATGTGTGGTTGTGGTTGAGTAAGAAAAAAGTAAATGAATGATGGCCACACAACCTTTCCAAAAAGGGAAACCCGAAATACAATTGGGACGATCCGAAATGAATTTTTTGGGACGACCCAAAATGATAAGCGGGAAGAATTTTTTGGGACGGATGTAGTAGTCCAGTACTGTGTATTAGTAGGGGTGGACGCGGTCCGGAACGGTCCGGTAAACTAGTAAAACCCGTAATGTATCCATTAGGTTTTTAACGGTCCGGTCCGGTTTCAAGGATGGAACAGTTCGGTACCAAGCTGTTTCGGAACGGTACAAAACAGTACGGTACAATGCCAAACACATGCTAAAAATTTTGAACAAATCTTGCAATTAGTAGATATCTTCACATCAACCAACTCATATGAAATGTTGATATAAATACAAGAAATTGCATATGTAGTACTAAAATTCACAAATACACAAACAGTGCAACACAACTAAAAAAAGTATAGCAAAACGATGACGTACTAGATAAATGTCGTCTTTAATTTACTAAGTTCATGTGAAAATATAAAAAAGAATATCATCAAATTGTTGAATATAATAGAAATCTTCAATCTCCTCCTCCTCCTCCTCCTCCTCCTCCTCCTCCTCCTCCTCCTCCTCCTCCTCCTCCTCCTCCTCCTCCTCCTCCTCCTCCTCCTCCTCCTCCTCCTCCTCCTCCTCCTCCTCCTCCTCCTCCTCCTCCTCCTCCTCCTCCTCCTCCTCCTCCTCCTCCTCCTCCTCCTCCTCCTCCTCCTCCTCCTCCTCCTCCTCCTCCTCCTCCTCCTCCTCCTCCTCCTCCTCCTCCTCCTCCTCCTCCTCCTCCTCCTCCTCCTCCTCCTCCTCCTCCTCCTCCTCCTCCTCCTCCTCCTCCTCCTCCTCCTCCTCCTCCTCCTCCTCCTCCTCCTCCTCCTCCTCCTCCTCCTCCTCCTCCTCCTCCTCCTCCTCCTCCTCCTCCTCCTCCTCCTCCTCCTCCTCCTCCTCCTCCTCCTCCTCCTCCTCCTCCTCCTCCTCCTCCTCCTCCTCCTCCTCCTCCTCCTCCTCCTCCTCCTCCTCCTCCTCCTCCTCCTCCTCCTCCTCCTCCTCCTCCTCCTCCTCCTCCTCCTCCTCCTAGGTTAAATATTACTCCGTAGTTCTAATTTAATTTATAGTTGTAAAATTGTGCAAACATGATACCACAAAAAGTCATGTACACTGCATTACTAGAAATGAATAGTCCTTAATGATTTCTAAAATTTTAATATTCTTTGAATATATATCAAAATATAACATAAATTATCTAAAATAAAAAAATAACAATATATATATATATATCACTTAGCTAGTTTGGAACACATGAATACATACTTGGGCTATAAAATAAAATTGTGTGTCTATAAAAACGATCTATTGGTATAGAAAAATTATAAAAAATTTAAATGCATTATTTTCGAACGGTTCGGTCCGGTATTTTTCGGTCCTCAAAATCTAGAACCGGTCCCGTACCCGTTTCAAACGGTTCGGTTTTGGTACGGGACAAAAATCTATAGAACCGTTTAAATACCCAGTATTCGGTTCGGTACCATTACAGGACGGCTCGGTACCGGTTCGGTTCGGGTTTTATGCCCACCCCTATGTATTAGTGTATTCCAGCATCCAAATACAATTGGATTGAGAATACTGAGATCTGTTTTGTTGCTAATGGTGTTAGCTTCCAATTTCACATATTGGTGAGTGTTCAATTCTAAGATCGCCTCTAATTTTAAGATTCATTTATCACGTCTCCACACATCTATTAAAAATTTTAAAAATTGTAATCTCTATAAGAGTTTTATATACTGAATTTATCTTTCCAGCTACATTAGTAAAATTCTCTAAAGGGTGTATTGATTAAGGACTTAATGTAATTTTTTTAAAAATGATTTGGATTTTACAAGTTTATGTGTATTGAATTTTAAAAGGAATCAAATGCGAGTTTTTTAAAGTTGGATACTTCAGCAAAAAAAAAGGATGACACCCCATCCCATAGGGCCCCCAACACCGACCGGACGACACGATGGGAGGGTGTAAATTGGACTATAATCACAATCTGACAGATAGAGAGTGGGGCTCTGTTACCGGTACTTGCAGAAGTCCTATGCATTTTTCAGCATAGTAGCCCCTCATCGCAGTTCAGCCGAATGTGAGGAATCTCTATCACTCAATCCGAACGTGAGGAAACCAACAGAAAAATAAGCAGTCCGATCATGAAAAATAAATTGTAAGCAAACAGTAAAAGTAAAAATATGCTTTCAAACCCTAGCCTCTCCTGCACTCCATGGCTGCGGTTCAGGAGGGGAACGCAGTTCAGCCGAACGTGAGGAGTCTGACTCTTGCATTAAGTCTCGGTGGATACTTCAACAGTTCAGCCGAACGTGAGGAGTCACTAGGCTCTTTCTCTCTCTAGGGTGGGTTTCCATTATTAGGGTTTTTTTCTTCTGCTATCGTTTCTAACGAGTGAGGAGCGGTTGCCACAGGCGGGCTTAGACGTATAGGGTTTCTTCTTCCACCATCAATTGTGTGATTATATTTCTTCTTTTGCTTTGGCGTGATTAAGCGGAGGGAAGAAGATGTTTGGTCTCCAGCGGCCGAAGGTTGTGCAGGGATGGGAGACGGATGCTTGGTCTCAAACGGTCAAAGGTCATGGACGAAGCATGAGGCTAGCGGCTGGAACAAGTCTGGAGTCGAGTTCATCCACGTTAGGTGGCAACAGAGGAGGTTTGATAGAGAACATGATGAAAAAGAGACAAGGTGAGGAAGAAGCTACAGTACTGCTGGATCGTTCCCCTCCTGAACCACAGCCATGGAGTGCAGGAGAGGCTAGGGTTTGAAAGCATATTTTTACTTTTACTGTTTGCTTACAATTTATTTTTCATGATCAGACTGCTTATTTTTCTGTTGGTTTCCTTTATTGTTGTAAGACTCTTGCATTAGGATTGAGTGATGAGAGGTTTGTTTTAACTGTCGTTGGCTCATTTGTGCCCATTATAGGATCAACAAGTTATATTGTTTTTTTGGAGATGATCGAGTCTAAGTCTGGTTCGAGGGTCGGTAGTTGTTTGTGGTCTTTTTATCGTTTTACCCCCTATTTGAATGCTATGATAGTAATTTAATCCATCCATTTTGACGATAAAAAAAAGTTTATGTGTATTACGTATTGACTATTGAGTAATGATTATATATTTTTAAAAGTTTAACAAAGTCTAGATGTATCGAAACTTTCATTCATTCTTATAGACTTTAAGATCATGGATTGTAGTCAGTGGCGGATCCAACGTGGGTGCAGGGGGAAGCTGCCCCCACTCAACCCCACCCAACCCCTATATATATATATATATATATATATATATATATATATATATCAAATATAAATTATACATGTAGAATTGTATTAAATAAATGTATCTTATAGGTACTCCTAGGCCTCGGCCGCTAGGGTTAGCATCTCCGATCTCGGCTCTTGGCCAGGGATCGGGTATCGGTTTAGCAAGGAAGAGGCTTCCGACGAAGCACAGGGCGGAGATCTCAGGCGTGGTGCAGACGGCTTCGACGAGGCTTAGAGCGGAGATCTCGGTCGAAGAAGTTTTTGCATGGAGGATATAGTTAGTGGCTTCTTATAGGAAGACGTCGATGAATGAGCCGGATTCGGAGCTTAATTTTGACGAGGAGCCAGAGGACGACAGCGAAGAGGAGAAGGAATCGGCGACTTTTCCAGTGGTTGGGGTTGTCATCACTGACCGCAAGGTCAAATTACCTGGATTTCAAGAGCTGATGACCTCGATCTGGAAGCCAGGGAAAGGTATGTCTATCAAAGAAATCGGCGAAAGAAGGTATTTGTTAAATTTTAATCATGTTTTGGATATGAACCGTGTGATAGAGGATGGCCCTAGGCTTTTTGAGCGAGATTTAATTTTGCTAAAGGCTGTGCAACCAGATGATATACCGGAATCCATGAATTGTTTTTAGGCTAGCTTTTGGGTACAGGTTCATAATGCTCCTATTAAGTATAAGAATTTAAGATCTGCCAGAAAATTGGTAATTTTTTAGGCTCATTTATTAAATTTGAGATGTGCCATTTTGATGGAAAGCAGAGTTCTTATCTGCGAATTCAAGTGTGTTTGGATGTCCGTCAACCTTTGAAAAAAGGTACCAATTTAACGCTGAATGGGGTGAAACGTTGGGTAGATTTTAAATATGAAAAACTACCCAGTTTTTGCTTTATCTGTGGTATTATTGGGCATTCAGACAAGTTCTGTCCATTGAAGTACGAAGAGGACTTTGTAGCTGAAAAAATATATGTGGTGGAACTTAGAGCTGGAGGAAGGGTGAAGACTAGCCCGACAGGATTTAATAAATGGTTATCTGATGGAGCCTCTAGCTCAGATGGATTTGGAGGACCGAGGAAGGCTGATCTTGGGGTAGAGAATTCGGCTGAGTCCAAGGTGAGTAAGCCGGCACTGCAGGAAAGTGAAGACAGGGAAGTGGCTCCCGGAGATCCAAAGCGTCGAAGGATATGGGATGACCAGACTGAAGAGAGTGCAGATGGCGAAGGGATGACTCTGGATGGGCCAAAAAATGGGGAGGGGGCGGGTCAAGTCTCCTAGATTCGCCTTATCTCTGTTGGGCGGCAGTGGG